CTCATAATCTTTCTCTCTGCTATTCTTAATTCTTCTTCATCTTTTTTAACCATCGTCATTGTTTTTCCTGCATATAATAATATTGGTCTAATTATGGTGTTATAAATGTTCATCTTACTTTTTTTAGTCAGTGTTGTGCTTTTAAGTAATCTTTTGTTTGCAAAATAAGCTTTATTCGCTGCTATTTTTTCTTTTATTTCGGATTTTCTTTCTCCGGATTTACTTATTGTGACTCCTAGGTATTTGAAGTATTCTACTTCTTCAAACAAATAACTGTCCATTTTGAGTTTTTCTTTCATTGGTTTTTTCCTTAATCTTAATATTTTTGCCCTTTTCTTGATTTAATCTTAGACCCATTACCTCCCCATTCTCTCTTATCTCTTCAAGCATTTCTTTCATTATTTTTCTGTTATTTGCAATAATAGCAATAGCGTCTGCATATGCAATTATTTGACCACCTCTTGTTCTGAGATTTCCTTTATTTATATTTCGCAGTACATATTCTAATGCTAGATTAAATAGCGTTGTGGATAAGGCATCTCTTTGTTTCATCCATTTATTTACACTGAATTCCTCAGTCTCTCCTCTTTGTATCTTTATGTTTATTTTTGTAGTTCTCATTGTCATTTCTATTAATTTTCTGAGTTTATGTGGAATTTTTAATTTTTTTAAGTGCTATCAGTAATCCGTTCCTTTTAATTGAGTCAAATGCCTGTGTGAAGTCTATGAATAACATTTCTAATTCTAATTTATACTCGTTTGCTTTTTCCATTATTTGTTTTATTGTATGTATTGCATCTATTGTAGATCTTCCTTCTGTGAATCCACATTGGTACTGTCCTACTGTCTTCTTTGTGATCTTTGATAACCTCTTTTTTATTATTGATGTCAATATTTTATATGTTGTATTTGGTAACGTTATTCCTCTATAATTTTCACAGATTTGTTGGTCTCCCTTTTTATGTACTGTTATGATCTGCCCCACCTCCCAGTCCCCTGACATTTTCTCTTCTTTCCATATGTTTTTCAATAGTGCCAGTATTTTTCCTCTAAGTTCTCTTCGCACCTCTGAATGTTCTTACATCTTTTATTGACGATTGTTTTCGTTTATTAATCATTATGTGATCAATTTGACTATATATTTTCTGATCTGGTGGCCTTCATGTTACCTTATGTATTTTAGGGTGTTCAAATTTTGTTGAGCTTATTAACAAATTTGTTCTTGTTGCTAGGTTACATAGTCTTTGCCCATTGTCATTCGTGTTTTGGTGTATTATTGTATGCTTTCCAGCAATTTGTTGTAAAAAGTCCTCTTTTCCAATCTGTGCGTTGAAGTCTACTAGTACAAATATGACATCTTCTTTGGGTATTTTTTCTATCTCCTCTTCGACCTTATCCTAAAAGATTTCTTTTTCGTCTGCATTGCTTGTTTCTGTGGGGGCGTACCTATAAATTCAAGACTGATATATTAAATGGTTTGCTGTTGACTCTAACATAGGCTACCCTTTCACCTATTGGCTTTAAATTTATAATTTTCTCTCTTAGGTGCCTTAGTATCATGAATCCCACGCCGTTTTGCCCTTCCTTCTTTCCTCCTGAATGTAACATTGTAAAGTCTTGTTTATCAATCTGTCCCTGTCCCTCCCAGCGTAGTTCTTGCAGTGCTGCATTATCTATTTTTATACTTTGTGGTTCTTTTCCAATTTCTAGAATTTTTCCTGGAGCTAGCATACTTATTATGTTCCATGTGCTTATTTTCAACTCTTTGTTTTTTTTTGTTTTGTTGTCTTCGTCTTTCATTTTTGTTTTCTTGTCCATCTTTCTTTATTTCACTTTTGTTGTACCCGGGTTTATCTGCAGTCATTTCCTGTTTCTTTGCCTCGTCCGTCAACGAATAATGCATCCTCTCATCCCTTCCTAGTTTTTTGAACCACCTCCATGATAGTCCTCCAGCTGGTTGGTGTTTCTATTCCATCTCCTTTCTATACCATTTATTATAAGTTTGTTGGCTTTAATTTGGACACGTTTACCTTTTTTTATTTCATCTTTTGGTGTTCTTCGTATTTTCTTCTGTATTTGTAATTCCTCTGTCGTTAGATCATTGTTTATATATATTTTTTCTTTTTACACATCTTTAAGCTTACTTTTGTTTTCCATAACTTTTGCTTTTTCTTCTTTGTTTGGCAGTCTAACTAAACATGTTTTATCTCCTAGTTTCACTGCTTCTTCTACATTTACGGTAATATTTAACTCTTGTGTCATAAAATTTCCTATCACTTCTTTTAGTACCTATTCTTCTATCTCCAGTTTCTATTGTCATTTCCTGTATTATCACATTATTTTCTTTTCTTATTCCATCCAGCCTTTCAAGGCGTCCTTTTGTCTCATTCAGATCCTTTTTGATTAGTTCATTTTCTTTCCAGATTTCACTATTCTCTTGTTTTAGTTCTGCTAGTTCAGTTTTGAGTTCCCCCATTTCTTCGCTGTATTGTTTTTGTTCCGTTTTTACTTCTTTTATATCAGTTTTTAATTCTTGTAGCTCTATTGTTAAATTTTTTATCATATTTAGTATTTGATCTATTTTGTTTTCATCTTTGTGATGACTGATATATAGTGTTAATTACCTGGGCCGGTTTTGTTTTTAGGTTTTTGTGTTGAGAGTAAATAAAATTTCCTTCGCCTCCCTAAATTTATCGAGGTTATGCACTTTCCTCTCTTCCAATGTCTTTGCTATAATTACCCTTAACACTTTTATTCTTCTATTACACACTGCACGCAAAATCAGAAAAATTATCGACTCACAATAACCAAAAATTGAAATTATCATGGAGCAGAATTTACACACGTCTATTCCTTACACTAGAGATGAGACATAGAACTACTGATAGGGTTTTTAAACTCTTTCCGCATCAGTTCTTCAACCAAAGGGATTGACGTACAGTATTTGTCAATTGTCTAATTATGATTAGATATTTGACCATTATCAGGTAAGATAACATGCGGTCCAACATAGACTTCGTCAAAACTTCTATAGGCAAACTTGAAGAAAAATGTATTCTTTTAAATGGTTATAAGCTTGACGTTATTATGAAATACAATACGCTGTCATCGCTATATGCACTGTAAGTTACTTATATTTTTGCGCAAATCTATTCAACTATACAAATAAAATATTCAATCACGTTTGCTAAAATCTGGTTAGGAAAAACCATTAAAAAACTAATTGCTTGTTATAATGCTATAAGTGATTACTATTTATAATAATATACATAACATTTTTAAATATGAGTGATTATTATTTATTTAACTGTTTTATTTTGAATACCTCATTAAACTGTCAGCAAATTCTATTCTCACGTTTACGAGGATGGTTATGTTGCCTAACCAGTGGGTGTATTTGCATACAAATTCTATTCTCACGTTTACGAGGATGTTATGTTGCCTAACTAGTGGGTGTATTGCATACAGTTTGATGTATGTATGCCTCAGACGGGAGAGAGTGAAAGCAACGGATTTCGGGCATCTAAAAACTTGGATATTTCGATGTCGACTACGGCAATAAGCCCCAAACATGGTCCTTTAACCTTGTCGGTTGAATCGATGTGCTAGCAACTCGTAATTCGGAAAACATGTAATTATACTAAAAATTTCTACAGCTTGCCTCGGAATACGAATGGATTTAAACAGTCACGAAAATTAGGTACAAAATGTAAGAAATAAAGAAGACGAAGTGTGAACAGAGCTTGGGAGTATAAAAAATGGTATCTGCATAATAAAAAGTAAAGAAAAAAGGCACGGGGAATGAAATATTCGGTAGCTGTACAAAAATTTAAAGTGAAGTACCAAAAATAATACATTAAATTGGCGTATAGTTTATAATCAATCAGCCAATCGCATCCACTACTTTACATAGGCCTCCCTCAGTTCTTTTCAGTGTTGTCTACACTAGGCCGCTTGTAGCCAGTTTCCCGCTACACGTTTTATATCATCGGTCCATCTAGTCGGTGGTCGCCCTCGGGTTCTTTTGTAGTTTCTGGGCCTCCATTCCATAATACGTCTTGTCCTCCGTCCATCTTGGGTTCTTTCTAAGTGCCCTGCCCAGTTCCACTTAAGCGTCGTGGTTCTTTCGATGACGTCTTGAACTCCTGATCTTTGTTTGATTTGTTGGTTTGTTACGTGGTCTCGAAGGCTCACGTTCAGCATTGCACGTTCCATGGCTCGTTGTGTAACTCTGAGTTTATTCGCAGATTTTTGCGTGAGTGTTAAAGTCTCTGCTCCATAAGTTTGTACAGGCAAAACACATTAGTTATAAACCTTTCGCTTGAGACACATGGGAATTGAACTTTCTAGAATATGGCTTAATTTGCCAAATGCTGCCCATGTCAGGCCTATTCGCCTCTGTATTTCATGTGTTTGATTGTCTCTGCTTATTTTGATCTCGTGTCCCAGATATTTTTAAGTGTTTTTTTGTTGTATGGTATTATTGTCAATAGTTATATTTCCACTCATTACGAGATTTGTCATAAGTTTAGTTTTCTCAAAGTTTATCTTTAATCCTGCTCTTTCAGACAGACTTTTAAGCGAATGTATCATAGAAACTGTATCCTATAAGTTATCTGCGGTTAATACAACATCATCTGCAAACCTTAGATGATTTAATCTTTCTCCATCTATATTGATGTCCATATCTTGCCATTGAGTGCTCTTAAATATTAACTCTAGAGCTGCCGTAAACAATTTTGGTGAAATATTGTCTCCTTGTCTAACTCCTCGCCCTAAGCTGAATTTTTCTGTGTCTTCGTGTAGTCGTATACTTGATGTAGCGTTCTCGTAGATGTTTTTGATTAGTGTCGTGTACCTGTAATCTATTCGGCTTTGATTTAGGGCTTCCAGTATTGTTTCAAACTCTACAGAATCAAAAGCCTTCTCGTAATCGTGCACATCGTTCGCAATCGTCGAACCTTAAATGCAAGAACCAGTGGTATGTTGTACTCGATACACTTTTCTATTAAGATCTTTATGGTATGCAAATGGATGCAAATGTGCCATATGGTATGCAAATCCTACCTGTCATTTGTGCCATATCCTGCCCTGAAGCCTGCCTATTCTTTGGGCTGATAAAAATCAAGTTTAGGTGTTAGTGAATGGTTGAATAACATTAGATATGCAGATGACACTATAGTTTTTGCCGATAATCTGAATGACTTGCAGATATTAACAAATCGCATAACAGAAGTCAGCAACAGATACGGACTAGCTCTTAACATAAAGAAAACCAAAGTTATGACAATTAGTAAAAAACCAATACTAAACGCTTAACTTACAATCAACCAACAGAATATCAAAAGAGTCGAGCAATATACATATATAGGCACCAATTTAAATAGCCAATGGGACCACTCAACAGAAATTAAACAGCGAATAATAAAAGCAAAAGCAGCATTCGTTAGAATGAGAACCATTTTTAACAGTCGAGATATATCATTAAAAACAAAATGCCGTCTATTGAATTGATATATATTCACAGTTCTGCTCTACGGAATGGAAACGTGGACACTGACTGTTGCATCTATGAATCGGCTCGAAGTTTTCGAAATGTGGTGTTATAGGCGCATCTTACGTATATCTTGGGTTGACAGAGTTACCTACTATTGTGGGAAGAATGGGAAAAGAATGTAAAATTGTCATGACCGTCAAAACTAAAAAGCTGGAATATCTAGGGCATGTAATGAGAAATCAATAACGTTACAGCCTTCTCCAGCTGATTCTCCAAGCGAAGGTAAATGGTAAGAGAGGACCGGGAAGAAAACGCATTTCCTGGCCTCAAAGTTTACGAAAGTGGTATAACACGACTACCACTGAATTGTTCTGCGCTGCAGTAAACAAAGTAAAAATAGCCATGATGATCGCCAACATTCGGAACGAATAAGCATTTTAAGAACAAGAAGAGGTGTTAGTCTCTTTGTTAAGATTTCCGTAAAGAGTTTGTACATATATGTCAAGAGGCTGATGGGTCTATAATTTTCTAATTTAGTATTGTCGCCTTTTTTCTGTAACAAGACTCTCACTGCATTATTCCAGTCTTTTGGAATCGTACCCTCATGTAAGCATTTATTAAACAGTTCGCTTACTGATTTTAATATAATTTCTCCTCCTGCTTTTATTCCCTCAATAACGAGTCCATCATCACCAGGCGATCGATGGTTCTTCATTTCCTTTAAAGCTGCTCTTAGTTTTGACACAGTGATGGGTAAAAGTATTTCCAATCAAATGACTGATATGTTTTTTTTTATTTTTGAAGTGTGTATATTTTTTAATAATTCCTAGCTGAGCGCTTTCGGCTTTACAAAGCCATCATCGGAGCTATGGTCAATTTATAAATACCACTACAATGGAGAGATCTCATTTCCTTATTTGTTGAAATTTTGATTTTTTTAATTACTTAGTTGTTAAAAATTCTTAAAAAACATACAAAAAACCGACACTGGACTTCACAGACACATTAAAAAAATTTTGTCATGGTACGGGTGTAAGAACCCGACCATTGTTTGCTATGAGGAGGTAGACATAATTTAAAAATACTTTTTTTGCCTTTTCTTTTGAAGAGTATTTCCGATCCCTGATTTATGAGAGTCTTTACTCGTGTCGGGAAATTGTCTGGTGGCCTTTGGCTGGTATAGATGTCTTTATAAAACTCTCTTGATATTTTCAGAATGTTTTGTTTATCTGTTGTTGCCTTTCCGTCTTTATCTCTAAACCTGTATATTTCTTTTGTACTTTGTGTAATTTTTCTTTTCATTATCTTTAAAACTTTGTTCTCTTCTACTGTTACTACTTCTAAGTTATTACATTAGCATTATATCTTTTTACATCTTTTCTAATTTCCGCTGAAATTCTTTTATTTAGTTTTTTATATTCTTCTTTGTTTCCCTTTTCGTTCTCGCTTAGGTTTCGTCGTATTTCCATGAGAGCTATTCTATCCTTGCTCATCTTTTCTTGCGTTTGCGTTTCTAGCCGTGTCTGTTATTAATTTATTGTGATCGTAGATACTTAGGGGTTTAGGATTATTACTCTGTAAAGTTTCAGCTATATTTTTTATGTAGGCTTCTGGCTGATTTGGTGAATTCCAAACTATGCGTTTGCAACTGTTTATCATCTTTACTCTTTCTTTTTGTAGTTTTATCGTTACTCCAGCTCTTTCTGGTTTGTGGTCACTTCCTACTAATAATTTATTGAGTACAGTGACATCTTGAATAATTTGCTTTTTGCCTGTCATTATATTCGCTCTTAGTTCTTCTGTCTGGACTAGCCCACGTCCATTTTCTATTCTGTTTCTTCTTAAAAAAGGTGTTCATTGCATACAGTTTGTGTTGCAGTAGAAAGTTGGTAAGCATTTCGCCTCTTTCATTTCTTACTCCGATGCCAAAATTTCTGATTACCACTTCTTGTTAGTCCTTTTTCCTTCCGAGTTTCCCGTTAAAATCTCCCATTATCAGATTCCCGGTTCCTGCTGCTTTTTGATTTCCTTATAGAAGGCTTCAACAATTTCATCTTTGTAATCGCTGGTGGGGGCGTATACCTGGATTATTTTCAGATTGTATCTCTTATTTAGTCTTAGATTTATATATACACCTATTGGGAAAATACAGTCAATCCTCTGTATATTTTTTTGTAATTTTTTGTGTACTAATAAACCTATTCCTCCATTTGTCAATTCTATTTCCCCTTTATAGTGGAATATGTTGCCTGATTTTAGTTTGACCTGATCTTCACCTCTTCTTTTGACTTCGCTAATTCCTATAATGTCCTATTTCACATGTTTGAGTTATCTAAATTTAGGGTTTTTTCTAAAATAGGGGAAGAGGTTTTTTCTAAATTTATATATGCTATACAACGAGTCCTATGTTTTTAAAACCACAATAAATGGAAAATATATCATGTATCGAATTTTATTGCACCTGAGAGTACGGAAGACCAGTCTGTGTTGGCACCCCTAACAAAAATTGTCTGTATAATCCTTAATCGAATAGATAAAAGACTCTTTTTACCATGAAAAAGTTAGTAACACGTTATTCTTTGTAACAACAAAATATTTTGACAAATAAAACACAACTAAAAGTTTGACAGTTGTAGCATTTCAAATCACCCTGTATGTATTAAAACACCGAAATATTTTCTCAATCCTTTTGCGTCATTGGGATTAATAGTATAAACATTTCTGGTCTGTATATAATAATTTTTAATTATATTTGTTTGATAGTGAATGCCGCCTAATATTGCGCGTCAAATAAATGTCCAATTACATTGGCGAGAAAGGTATGCGGGAGGCGAACGATTTTTCAAGATCACTCTGAAAGTGACCGCCAAAGTAGTCACTTTACTGTTTAGTCCAGATTTTTATTTTTCAAGCTCGTTATTGTTTGTTCTCTGTTCGTTTTTGTCATGTAAATACAGTGTAAAGTTATAGTAGCAGTTAAACTTGTGGAAATTGGATTTAAAATTTTTAAGGGGAAAGTTTTTGTTAAGTTTAATCACCGATTGTTTCGTGCTATGCCTTATTTGAGAGGTTTGTTAGACGGCGTTTCCAATCATTTGAGAAGTCCAATGGTTTAAAGAAGAACTTGAGTGGGCGAGTTTGTTAATCCGAAGCCCGAATCAGTTCCAACTTCTCAACTATCGTCCATTTTTATGTTCCATGGTAAACCAATTCCAGCTTGAGGGAGACACAGTTGTATGTTATTTTGCAGCGTTTTGGATCCAGTTCCAAGCCCAAAAACTTCTTGAAGGAAATACATCAGATAGAGTGATATAAGGTACTTTTTGTTAGAACTTGACCAAGTACAAATAGACATTTTCATTAATAAAAAATTTGCTCATGACAAGTTGAAAAATTGTAATAAATAAAATAATAAGTTTTATGGATTGGCTAATTCTGATATTATTCTTCGTTTAAATGCAAATAATTTTAAAATTTAATTAATACCTACTTCAAAAAGTTTAGATATTTCATTTTGACATATGACAGTTAGTATTATCCTCTTCGGACAATTGGTACATAACCACAAATTTGATTTGTTTTGTTTTAAACGGTTACCTAAACTCAATGTAAGCTAGGTTGAACAATCTAGATATTTTCATTTTAATAATAATTTAAATTCCTATAGTGTCCCCAACGTCTGGAGTTTGTTGTAAAACGTTACAACGAGCACCTTTGTAAGTTCTGTTTTTACGTTTTGCTATTATTATTTGTAATATCTGTTTATAGTGAAGTAATAATAAATATGTAATGTTTATCTCTAAACCAAGTGTAGAATTATTTCCTTTAAAAAGATTTTCACTCTTTTTATATTTTTTTTAAAGAAAAGCCTTTCTTTCCATCTGGCAGGAAGATTACTGTAAATGGCGTCCAATTTAAATAGTCTAGGAACCTTCCTGTGTTGTGTTGACCAGGAAATCTATGTGAGTATTTTTTTTTATTTTCTTCTTTTGTAATTACTCCTTTCCAGTCCCTCTTTTATTCACTTACTTACGACCTAGCTCTCAAACCAAACCAAGAGTAGCCGTTCGCAGACGTTTCGGTTTGTTTGCTTACTCTACCTGCAGCCCAGTAATTTCTGTCCCCGGTTTCAACCTCCTATAAGTGATATCCAATGTGGTAGGCAAATTATAACCGTTACACAGTCAAATTAAAAAAACAAATCACAGTATGCCATCATACTCGAATAGTCAGGTAGGATGGTATACATTGTTTTCTTAAGATTTGTTTTGACCTCTAAGTTAAATACTTTAAAATAAATAAAACAAAACTGTAAAGGAACACTACGTTTTTCAGTATATATAAATAACATTATAAAGTGGGTAACTTCATACTGAAACAAAACTTCGAGAAATATCCCCTGTTTCCCGGCCGAAGGGTCGTGGGTTCTAGAGCTCATCTCTGCAAACAAATCCTATTTGTATATCCTATCCCATATAAACTTTTGAAATAAAATTCCACAAAAAAGTAATAGCTAGTTGTCATCCTTCAGAAACCACAATATGTTCTTATGCATTTTTATAAAACTTTAGCGTGGACGTGAAAACTAAAGTATAGGTGAGCTAATGTTTATTTTATTAACAAAATTGCGTCAGCCAAATTGGCTATTAGCGAAACAATAGTAGCGAACACTAATTTGTATTACATTTACATGTTTAGATAGCGTTTAGAATGTTAATTGAAGTTAAGAAATTTTTACGTTTGACATATTGCATTGTAGACCTAAAATATCTCTTAGTTTGTTAGGCATACTGTATAACATGCGCTTTGGCATTAATGCTGGACATTGCTCTAATATATGGTTGATTGTTAACTTTTCTTCACAGTTGTCACATTTTGGTTCTTGTTTGTTGAAGAACACATGGCTATTAGGTAATCGCGTATGACCCAGTCGGAGTCGCATTACCTGGTCTCTCCGACTTGTTGGTAATGTGGGCCAGGGTTCTATCGATTTTTTACTACCGCGTAGTTTGGACGATGACACTTTCCACTTCCCACATATACGTCCTTTACGTTTAACCATAGATTACACGCTCGCACTCGTAAATGTTTCAGTACACTCCGCACTATCGCTAGTTGCAGCTTCTTTTGCAGCGTTGTCTGACTCTTCATTTTCTTGAATTCCAATATAGGATGGTATCCAGAAGAATATAATATTTTTTCCATTCAGATGCACGGTATAAAAGAATTAGTTGGGTAAACATATTGGATTGACTGTACGGAACTTGAGAGTCTGTGAGTATATTATAATTGGTATTATTGGATCCGTTAACAGAAAGGATGGCCTGGTATAGAACATATAGTTCAGCAGAGTAAATGAAATATTCAAAAGGGAGTTTGTATTTATTTGTCGATGTTGTGGGTAGGACTGTAGCACCAGTACCTTCATTTGATTTAAAAGTATCTGTGTATATATGTGTGCAATCCTTGTAGTTGTGAAGGATATCATTGAAGGCGGATTTGATTAACTGTGGGTTTGTTGTGCCCGTCCCAGCTTGCGTGGAGGAGGAGTTCTGAATTAACTAAGGACTCTTCTGTACTTCGCGGAAGACGGACGGGTGGGGGAGTCAACCCCGACACGGCGCGTAGCACTGGCTGATAAGGAAATGTCCTACAGATATGTAGGATAGGTGTGAATAAGGTTTTACCAAATAAACACCCGTGGACCAACTGAGG